GAGATATTTACTTTTCTCTACGATCACGGCGACGTAGGCACCCAGATCATTCTAAAACACAGTACCTACATCTTAGCGTCACAAGTCATCGTTATGTATGCGTCTTGACCTCGCCCACAGTGTAATGTGAAAATGTCAGACAAGAATTAACATTGTTCCTGATATTGATTCAATTCTTGCATGCATGGCAATTTAGTCACCCAGATCATACCTACTAAAACACAGTTAATCCTAGCGTCTCAAATCACCTTAACTACGCGTCTTGAGCGAGGCTCACAGCGCTATTTGAAGAATCTTATTCAAGTCTTGACACTGTTCCTGATATTGATTCAAACCTCGCATGCATGACAATTTAGTCGCTCAGATCATATCAAAACACAGTCCATCCTACCATGGCAGGTCATCGTCCGAAGTTCAAATAATTGTTATCTATGCATCTCGACCGAGACTCAGAGCGCATGTGAGGTGAATACCAAACAGTGGACTCTAATAACTACCCTCGCTTTTGTTATTGTAATGCGGTGGAGCTGGATAACACGTAAAGGACTGAGGATTAAATAGGTACATCATCATCATCACATCAGCGTATACCTAGCATTCCACAGCAGGGCGTAGGCCTCCCCAGGGTACGTCACGATACGATGTCCCATTTTCGCCATCCAGTTTCTCTACCAGACGCTCTCTTAAAAGTCAAGGCTTAAAAATAAAATTGACATGGCTTTATTTGCTACTAGCCATTTGCAGCTATCTACGCGTTTTCCTAAAGGAATGAAAAGTTTTCTTGTGGTAAAAAATAGGTAGTGTTTTGACGCACAATGCCATGTGAGGTGAATATCAAACAGTGGTCTAATAACTACCTACCCTGGGTTTTGTTATTGTAATGCGGTGAAGCTTTATAACGTGACGAGGACAGTGGATTGTAAAATGCAGTTTTTTTTTAAGTTTTACATATAAACACATTCTTTTCGAAATGTAAAGTTTGTAAGTTTAGGATTATAGGATTATTAGTTAAGTTAGAGCGTTTAAATTCAAAAGCTTGGCTCTCCGTAATATTTTGTTCACAGGGAAAGTTATTACAATAATTGAAAACCTCCATTTTTGTTTACGTCGGTTAAAAATGTTATAAGGATCAAAATTCTTAACATTTTACGACACAAATAGCAAGACTAGTAAACAACAATTTTATCACCACACTATCCTCTTTCAAACAAATTTTAGTAGCAGTAAAACAAAGTGTAATTTGATTTTATAGTCTCCTTTTATAATTTAACCGAAACATGAAACTAGCATCAAAATATTGTTTAATTTTACGCCCGACCTATAAAATCCTTTGTAAATACCATAACCCGGTCCCGAAGCGTACTAAAATAACTGTTAAGTAGTTAAATCTCACCTTAAATGTGGGTCAGTAATTTTATATGCTTAAAATAATTCATTTGTTGAATAATAAATATTCATACCTTAAATTTTTGTACGACAATATAAGGGAGTGAAATAATGACAGCAAATGATATTTTTAAACGTGAAAGCCAGTTCCATGTTTTTTTTTTTATTTATGTAGCCTATATGATAATATTATGTGTCCCACTACTGGGCAAAGGTCTCCTCATAGAAAATGGCGAGACGTCTTGGTCGCATTTAGTAGTGACTTGCAGTCAGAAACTGGATACCAAGGAGAGTTTAATGTTTAAAATTATAATTCTTTCATCATCTTCCTGCCCTTATACCAACCACTTGGGGTCGGCGCAACACGTTTTGTTGAACACGAAATCGTGTTGCAAAGGATTTACGACCGGCCGCCTACCAGACGTCAACCCTCCTTGGGAATGCTTTTGTGGTGGATTAACCGCCACCATACGGTTGGCCCTGGCTGTTTGGGTCGGGTTTATCTCTCGCCTCTTACGACCCCCACGGGAAGAGAAGGGGTGGTGCTATTCTACTTTGCCGGCACCACACGGCCGGTTTATAATTCTTTGTAGGTAGCTATTAGTTATACGAGTGAAATTATAGTTGTTTGATCCTACAGCGTATCAGTTCTCCCCATTTTACAAGCGCCTACCTTACCACCAATACCAATAGGTATTCCTAGAAGCTACAAGTGGCTACAATAACATTTGGATAGCCGTTCGACGTTGGACGCAGTCATTGAAAAAATGTTGGTCTGTTAAGGTGCCTGGAAGATAAATCTGCTGAGGCCATCACACGGTTGTTGCTAATGATGACCTTATTCCTTTAAAATTCTCCTTCATTATCGCCAGCGAATCCACCTACTTATTTAAGGGATTAATTTATACTGGTTTTTCTTAGTAATTGTATAAAAAACCAGTATAAGTGGGTCCCTGAAATGGGCAGTTAGATTTGCTAATTTTAGCGTGGTTCTTTAACTGATCGGATCCCAATTCGTTAATTTTGTATGTAGCACCGTTTCAACAAATTCAGTCGAGGTTTCCAATGAAATTGCATCGTATTACCATTTTATAAATGACTTACCGATTCACCGAACAGAATGATCAATATCGAGGGTAGGTACAACAATGAGTTGTAAATTGATGGATTTGTTCGTCGTGTGGACTAGTGTTGCTGAACTATCGACAGCACTGTTATCGATAGTTTTTTAGAAAACCTCTACGCAGTCGATACCATTGATAGTTAAAACTGCAGGACTAAATACTATCGTCAAGTGCAACACTATCTATACTATCAATGTATCAATATTGCTGTATTTCAAATTATCGATCGATACTATCCGGTCCTACCGGGGGACGCAATAATTTTGATCTGTGGCCAACCTACACAATCGATAGCATCAATGCCTACCATAGATAGTTCAGACTGTACTACTGCAATACTATCGTCAAGTGCAACACTATCGATGGTATCGATTGAAAAACAATTGCTCGTAGCCATACTATCGATACTGTTGCTGCATTTTGAACTATCGCTACTATCTATCTATCGATCTATTGCCGTGTGATGCCGGCTTAGAATAGCATCACCCCAATTCTACCCATTTCGTAAAAAGCGACTAAGGGATATTCATCCAGGGAATGGGCAGCAGCGTTCCCTGTAAATTAAAAATCTTGCACTGTCACAATCCGCCTGCCAAGCGTGGTATGTATGGCAATACCCCCCGTTAGGGGGAGGCCCATGTCCAGCAGTGGACTGTTGGGGCTGTAAAGGATCGATACTATCGATAGTTTATCGAGTCTACTATGGAGCGACAACACTAGTGCGGACGCGGCCCTGCCGGGTCACCGGTTTCATTTGAGGACGCAACAACTTTGATCTGTGGTCAGAGGGCCGCGGTGCCAAATTACACACCTAGGGATCAGGTTAAAAATAAATACTATGTAGGGTCTAAACTAAACTGTAGGGTCACGACATGGTTCGCCAAAAATCATTAGTCGAATCTAAAATCTAATTTTTTTTCATTATCTAGGAGCACTATCTTGCCACCGCCAAGACGAGCCAAAACAAGCTCAAGCGAATGATCTACCTTTTGTAGATTTGTTTTCTTGGTACTTTGGTGCTCTATACATGCATTAACAAGGTAGGACGATCAGTTGTATGTTGATGGATTTTCACCCGGGTCAGCGGTTTCATTTGGGGACGCAACAACTGTGATCAGTGACCAGAGGGCCGCGGTGCCAAATTACACACCTAGGGATCAGAGCAAAAAAATACTATTAGAACTGTAGAGGCACGACATGGTTCGCCAAAAATCAGAAGTCAAATCCAAATCGTGTAATTTTTTTCATTATCTGGGAGCACTATCCTGCCCCCGCCAAGACGAGCCAAATCAAGCTCAAGCAAATTATCAACCTTTTCTAGAAGTGTTTCCTTGGTACTTTGGTTTCTCTAAACAAGCATTAGCAAGGTAGGACGATCAGTTGTAAATTGATGTATTGTTCGTCGAGTGGACGCGGTCCTTACAGGCCACCGGTTTCATTTGGGGACGCAACAACTTTGATGCAGCGGTGCCAAATTACACACCTATCTAAAGTATCACTGCTAAAAGATTCTTCAGTCAGGTCAGGAGGAAATCATTTATTTGTTCTTATAATCAAACAGTCTCATTTTTAAAAATTATACCTAAAGTAAGCAACTATAAGTATCTGAGTATAGGTATCAACTAGCTACAACTTTTATCTATTTTAATACACCTACAAACGCGCCGATTTTTTTTGTATGTCTTTGGTGAGGGCCGATTTTGTTTTTCTTACAATATTTTTTTGTTTTTTTGGCATAAATTAACTACAGTCCAATCCTTATTAGATCTTTTCAATAGGTCACGTATGGAGCTGTCGGAAAGTCTACATCTACAAGTTGACCAGGAAATACGATATCCGTCATAAAATAAGTGATAAAATAAGACACAAAAGACGTGGGATGAAGAAATTATTCAAGTTCCTCGAAACTATGTACGATGTGCGTATAAACATCTTTACAAACCTGTTGAAATGTCATACTAATCTGATAATTAGTATGAAGTGCGAACAATTTTAATGGCTATTTTATGTAGGTATTCCTTACCTAGAAAATCAATGCGATAGATAATAGGTATGTATTGTAACAATGTCTTCTCCGATCTTTGGACCTCTCATTTGTGTATCTTACGGCTATCAGGTACTTCAAACTAACAATATTGAGGGACCAACTTCAACTTATATCGGACATTCGTAAAGACTGTATAGAGAAATGGTATAGGGTGAACTGATTTAAACTTTCGTGGTCAAACATTCTCAATCAAAATATTGAAAACAGTTTTCTTACTGCAATTGAGATCCCGACCCAAAAAAAAAATATTGTTTACTTATCACGAGAAGTGTTTTAAAATTTGGTATTCAATTTATCGCGGGTTTTCATCGCTTTGACTACATTCAATCTGTAAAGAATGAATTAGTCGCTGGGAATTAGTTGCAAAACTATCCCGGTAGATGGAGCCCATCCACGCGATAGTGGACAAGATATACTTCCTTAATTGCGCGGGCTCGATTGGAACCGCGGTAGCCCAGTTGGTTAGGGCGTCGGCCGGCAGTACTGATGCCGAAGGTCGCAGGTTCAAATCCTGCCTGCGGTGAAATTTTGGAAGTTTTCCAAAAATTGTTTACCTAACACGAGAAGTGTTTTAAAATTTGGTATTCAATCCATATCTTGAGTTACTGTAGGATGATTCCAAGCATAGTCTTGCTAAATGTAAATTTTATATTTCTTATTTTCAGGAACTTTGGACGACTCGGTGTGGGACTCGAAGTAAAGAACGAACTTAACATTTATTAAACAATTTTTAATGAAGTTGTTAAGCATTTATCACCAGTATTTTCCATAAAAGCATCTGAAGTCGTCGAGATAAAACGTTCCTCATCTCTCAATGCAGTTCTGCAAGTGAGCTCAGCCATTCACTGACTACGCTTAAGTTTTAATAAAACTTAATATATTTAAATCCCAAGAGAAGAAATAATATCACGAGAAAACATTTTACGCTAATGTAAAGCGCTAAAATGGTTTAATGAAATTTAATATGAAGCTAAGTGGTAACTTTAGATTAATGAGTGTTTTTACGCACCTACATTAATGCTAAGTTCTTACTAAGTATGTAAACATTATTTTTAAATGGTAAGCTGTTAGTGCTGTCAGTCTGTACAGTGTATACGGATTGCTAGATATTATTTGTGTTCAATTTTTTCTGGTTATTTCTATCAAATGTGAATGAATATAAAAAAAATAACGTTTCAAAATATGGCAGTCCCATAATAAGTAAGAAAACTGCACGTGAGTTGCAGAGCACACTTTAATTTTCAAAAGATCGATTCTTCGAATCTCTGCTTTTACGTCAAGGGTCGAACTTATTCGAGCAAAGTTTCTTACATCACTTTGATATCAATACCAGGAGTTCATAGTTGATGAAAAACAAGTGCACAGATGGTATTGAGCGAAACTTCACAATATCGTGGAACTTATGAGTTTTCCACTATTCCACAACAAAACGAAGAAGTAATAACTACTCGATAGACGCATCGAGCCGCGCGTTTCAAACCTCTCCTTTATGTCGCTACTGTTATTTTTATTTGCTTTTCTCTGAACTGATACAGCTTGGAAGAAAATGAAACATTTTTCTAAATTAAAAAAATACTCACTCAAGGCGTGAAAACGCCCCGAGCGTCTTCTTCCTATTTTGTACTAAAACCGTGCTTGAAGGAAAATTCCATAGGTATATTTGTCATATAAATATGACGTACGCAGTAAGATTCAATTTTGGTCGTATTTGACTTTAACGCTTTGGTTTAGGCCACCTACACAATAATATGACTCTTTTAAAACTTTGTAATGTAGGGACCTTTTGTGTGAATTTGTGTATAATGTATTTATTGGCTTTGATATTTTTTAAAATTTTCAAAGAACGGACCTATATTAAAGTCAAACCCATTTTTCGTACCTTTTGCCGACGTAATTATAAATCCCAGATCAATTTTATTTCCCAAAACGTATTTCGATCCCACATTATCAAACCGAAAGGTAAAGTTACAAAGTCGGAATTTCGGTCCCCAATACAGTAATTAAGGGCAAAGGGAGGGGCTGGGGCCCAATTCCCTTATACTTTGACAATTTTAAATTAAAACGTGTAAAGTAGAGTGCTTCTTGTTTGTATTTTACTTTTTCTTACAATATTTTTATGCAGACGTACACACTATTTGTTTGCATATTTTTGCGCTCGATCTAAATCTAGTACATAATTGTTTCCAAAACTATCTTTTAACTACGTAGAAGGCAACATACTTTGACTCTCAAAGAAGCTGCAAAATTAAAGTACCTAAAAACAAAAAATATAACTTTTTATTTCTTGCTTATGTAGGTGTAGTTACCTATATTTTTAACTCCTATTTGAAATAATTCGTTTTAATTAAATACAGAACATAAGCTGATTAGAGCTTGCTTCTTGCTTACTTGCTTCTGGACTGTACTGTGTGAACAGAACAGTACAGTGCGCCCAAAATCGTGCCTTCAAATTTCGGATAAAATATAGGATGAAATTTTACTAGTGACCGATAAAAAAAATGCAGGATGGGGTAGTGATAAGAAACTAGTAAACGTTCAACCAATATGTAGTTGCATGAAGTTCTTAGACTTTGTATTTTGAGGTAAACCACAATGAATACGGCAATAATTTTGGATTTAAAGTAGCTACTTAACAGAATCACGTCCCGGATGTGATGCTAATAATTGCAACCCTTGATAACCCTTACACCTGAATTCACCTTTTGAAAGTGAGTTTCGGTCCCCCCAGCCATGGTCATTTGTACCTATTAAATAATGAAAGCACTGAAAAGGGTTACGTGCCGCCGGCCAAGAATAGCTTTTTATTTCATTGGTTTTAAGGGCGCCGGTCGTCAGAAATGCCCTTTTTCAAAACAATATTACTCAGTAGATATTAGTTGTAAAATTCTAAAAAAAATATATGTTGCAGTTGAGGATTTAATAGAGGGAATGGGGCATTCAGTTACACGATTTGATTAACTTTGCTCGATAATTTTTTTTACCAAAGTTGGCTCTATTCAAAATTTATTTTCAATATTATGCCTAAGATATTAAATTTATAAACCTAATTTTTATACCAATCTATAGAGGAATTGATAATCCAGGGAATGGTGCAGTATCAATGTTGTAGGGTTATATTGTAAATTAAGATGCCTAAATAAATACAAAAAGCGCGAGCGGCGTGGCTCGGCGGCCTCGTCAGTCGCGCGGAGGCGCTTTCGGACGACGGATGTGTGCCAATTTTTCTCCCGACGCGCGACGTAAATTGGTTTTATTTTTTAGTGGCGATCAGTCTAGTGCCACAGTAGGAAAAATGAAAGCAGTATTACCACGGGTTTCAAAACTAAATTCGTCTTATTTGATTATTAAACTTAATTTATTAAAATATGCCGTGGCATAACAAGATACAAAGACACAGTGTAACAAAATCAGTACATCCACACATTTTTGTAATAGTAGGTATGTATTACGATAATTTTACCAAAATGTTAAAGTTTTGGGATGATTGTAAAATTATGTTTGACGTTAATATCTCAGTAAGTATTAGCAATTTATTGTATTACCAATATTGATTTATAACAACAAAGTAAATTTTTCTTTTATTTATTTCAGCCCATTGATAACTGGCACTTGTTGCGAGTTGGTTTACTCGCACATTGATATTGTTGATATAATTAAACTCTGATACCCAATTTATGGTTTTATTGATGCTAATGAACTATAGAGAAATTATAATGATGAGTACACGCGTTATGAATGAGTGGTGATCGGAGACTGGCGTGTAATGACCTAATAATAGCCATGTGGAGTAAACTGCTGAGAGTGCAATCCGGTGTGCGGTGTACATGCTCTCGGGCGAGAGAATAAGAGGGTGAGATGAGATGAAGAGGTGAAATAGCAATTGGATAGTAAAATCAACCCTATGCTTAAACTAAGGTTAACTTATAAAAATACATGTCATGTTCTTATGCTAGATTTATTAAAATTCATCGACATTAATTATCGGCCTTCTGATAATTGGTGACGTTGCTTTATCTTGTATGATCGCAGCGTGGACGGCGTTAGAGAGCGTCTTCAATTCTATGTTTTCTTGCGCTAACGTCAGAGTCGTGTGCGCGCTTCTTGGTTGAACTGCCGGTTTTGGGATTTCATTTATGGGTGTTGATAGGTTTTCAACTTTCGACTGCAAGTTGATGCTTCCCCTCAGACGACGACGACGACGCACGCACCGGACCACGTAAACAGCTGACACTACCATGCATCCTATCATTAGGATGTATATTGCAGTGAATTGATGTATGGCATGCTAAATTAAAGTCTCGGGAAGTGGAGCTTCTGATTTCATCTGTTCGATTTGCTTGCCGATTTTTGTAATTTCTGAACTTTGCTCTGATGTGGAATTCATCTCGATAAGAGGGACTGATACATTTATAATGTGAATAATCGGAGCGATCTCTGGAATGTATAAATCTGCTGACATCTTTGTTTCTATGCGCTTTTTGTTATGTGAGAAAACTGTGAAGTCGTCCCCTTTGATGACGCACGCAATCTTGTTCGAACCCGATGATGCCGGCCTTCTGGACTTGTATTGATGTAATCTGACTCCCACATATGAGTCTCAACGCCACGTTGAAATGTCGACGTCCAAATTTTTTATTGCATTTAAACATTGGACGGTGGTGTCATGCAGTTTCTTGATTGCTGATGCAGATTGTTGCTGAAGGACTGGCAGGCCAAGGAGAATATTCATATGTGTGAACTGAAAATTTGCCTTTTGTTGCTGTAACGGTGATTTAATATTTCCCAACACGTTTCAAAATTTTCAGATGATATTTGTAAATGCTGTATCAGCTTTTCAGCTTCTCCTTTCACTTTGGTTTTCAGAAATTGCAGTTATTGCGCTTTCGAGATGGAATTATTTTTATGTATGGTCTCAGTGAAAAGATCTTTGAATGATGTCCAATGTATATAATTTCCACTAAATGTTGGAATTCCGTAGTAGGCGTGGACTTCTGCCGATGTTTTTAGCCCACATCTTGTTGTTGATTGATTTTTTGATCTCATTGTATCTTTGCTCACATGCATAATACCTTTTGTCGTTGGGGAAATCTTCACTGGGCAGTTCGCAGTCTATTTCCCAGTGTAATGTGTCAACAGCCAGCCATCTAGTTTGTATGGTTCTCAGGGCATCTTCAAGCTCCCAATTTTCGGTAATCAAATCTAGATTAAACATAATGACTGCTCGACAAAATATGCTTTTACGTTGCTTTGCTGCTTTCTGAACATTTCATCTAGTTTGCTGACATTACCTTTGTCGTTGTTGATTTTTGGATTAACAACGTCTTGTGGCTGTTGATGTTGACCATCTCGTTGATTGCGCTGATGTTGTTGAGTTTGCTGTTGAGTCCCTGACAGTGTTCTCGCGGGGGTAGGTGAGTGCGGCGCTTGGTACGGCTGCTGCTGCTGCTGTCAATCCATTTTAGCTGCGCCTAAGATTGATGGCTTTAGAAATGGTTTTTGTTCTTGATGCACTGGATGTGTGAG